AGTTTTTGGACTACCCAGTGTTTTTAAATGTGCCTGTTGCGAGTACGCATATATGGAGTGAAACTTATTTCAGTCATCCAGCCGATAGAATATTAGGTATTTGTATTATATTATCACTATTGTCGTGTAAACAACCATAGTGACACGATTATGACCCTATGTCTATCTACATAAGTTCTGTATTTTTATTTGTATCTATTATTTTATTTGTGTATTATTAGAACAAAGTTATAATCTCATTTTTATTTACATAATATACAAAAACAAACCTGTCAAACCGTAGAAAAGGCGCCCATCGATCAGAACCAATCGGAGTGACAATATCATAAAAAATAACTAAGAGTCAACCAAATTTATATTAAAAAATAACAGAAAATAAATAAACAACGTAGATAAACGATTTATCTATATGTAATATGTAATGTATTATAATATCATCAGTAAAAATAGTTTCTTCTTCACAATAAATTACAAAAAATTACAATAATTTCACATTTGTCTAGGGGTTTACATGTCACCTTCTTGCAGCCCCTAATGGGTGCTCTTGTACCATATAGAAATATGTGTCTTGACGACAAATGATGATAAATTATTGATAAAAAAAATTAAAAAAATAATGTTATAAATGGAATATAGGTAGTATTGTAGTAATACTGTAGTAATACTAGGGTAGATCGGTGAAAGTTGATAAATTTGCTTTTAAAAATGTACTAAGATATCCATCTATAGTAGTGCTTCTCTAGAACATTAAGAAATATATTGGTGTTTAGGTGTAAATAATATCAATCAAAATTATTATCTTATAATACAGTATGCCGTTCTTGTTTTGTAATTAGTTTATTCATTACATCATAATTTAAATATGAAACCTTAAACAATATTCTCTAGTTCTCTAAAATACTATGTTGAAAATGTATTTACCAATTGTGATATTGTCATATTATTTACGAAACAGTTATTTCCAAAAAAAATATTTGAGATTTATAAAATATTATCTAATCGAACTTAAAAAGCTATCCACTATTTCACCATTGAAATGTCGTATTGTATTCTTTCCCCTATTAATGGACTATAGATAAGATGACTAAACCAATAAATAAATATTTACCCAATATGTTTATATTGACAACTTTATTAATATAAATATATATAAATACAATGAACTTCTCACTTTGAGAGTTGCCTTACTAGTTACGGTAGAGTTACCGTTCAACAAATTCGTACCTAGCTTATAAAAATAAAACAAACTACTGTGAATATAAAAGAAATTAAAGAAAATAGAAGTAATTAAATAGTAAGTACCTAGATAGATACCAAAATAAAATGTCAACCAACTAGCTGTAGAATGATAATTATTATTATAAACTTAAGGTAGGTACCTAGTCATTCTCTCACTCATCATAGTACCAAATTATTTTTATTTAAAAAATTCTTTGTTGTAGAATATAAAAGACAATACTACAAAGATCAGGTGGAGACTTTAAATACAAAGAAGGAATGTAAGTATTTTTGTGCGAAATAATTAAAAATTATATTTGTTAATTTTCAGTTAAATAATAGTTAAATATTAACTATACAATTTATTACAATAATACTTAAAACTGGTATTCATCAAATATTCCAACGGTCGAGTTGTCTTAAGTTATTCCACTTATTAGGTAATAAATGATTGATTTCCCATTTTTGAACGCAAATTTTTGATATTCTATATCAAATTTGAGAGCAGAAACCACCTTGGACATTGAATATTGTAGCAAAAAACGCCTATTTTAAAAATTCTTCAGATAAAGTTTTCACACCATTCAACTCAACATTTTAAACACTTAAAAAACTTTAAAGTTTGAATTCAATGATAATCAAGTTAATAATTATTATGCATGGTGATACGGCACACGTGTTATGCGTGCCGGCCGTAAAGTAAGTTTTAACTCGGGGTTATGGTGTAGATTAATTTAGTCTTTATTTCTATCAGTAGCGAGACAGGAGGTTTTTGGTTGGGGAGACACTGAAAAAAAAATGGCACTAATACGAATAGACTGCCCCTTTTTTATTTTGTCTATAAGTAAGAAATAAATGTTGAAAAACTAAAAACCAAACTGAAATACTGTATTAAAAAATTAAAAACGTTACATCTTCTTTAAAATGATAATTTAATGTAATAACAAATGTACACATTTTTTTTTTCGTAAGTATCGAGGTATCATAAGTATTGAGGACTGAGGTAATTACGAACGGTGAGACTGTCTCATAGCGTACAAAGTAAACCCCACTCACATTAGCATTCCCCTTGCACCCGCACACCAATAATTCTAAGACGTTGCGTCGCAATGTCTATTAGATATAATACCATATTTGGAATGACCCGTATGGCCGTATATATCGCCTTCTCAGTTCTCATACAAACGGCCGTATCTCACACATCTAATCTATTTTAAGAATTATAATATAACTGTAAAACGAAGTACCAATTTTAGCAAATACTGAAACATACATCATATTTATAATATGAAATAAAATTCACAATTGTGAATATTTTATAAAACAAAATAATTATTTAAATGTCCCGTGTTCTAATTTCTAAGTAGGGAGACGTTGTCTCTTTGTCTCTTCGCCACTGAATTCTATATATGTGAATGTAAATATTATATACGACGATTTAGGGAGTAGGGCTAAGTGATCGATTATAATAGAAATATTATATATGAGCCTATATAATGATCCAGGGGTGTGGTCGAGTCTTACACGTTGGGCCCGACCGGTAGAGAGTGGCCTAAACAGGCTCCCTGGGGGGTCATGTCTTACGTGGTCAACCTGAAAATGGCGATTTTGGTTAAGTCGTTGATCATCAGTCTAATTCCCCTTGCTGACCTCTTGGAAATCCTTAGCTGTGAATCCTGTCTTGGTCCTTGAGTGAACTGTAACACGAGTCACCGGGTGCTGGTCTTGTATGATGTGTATCGCTCGTCAATTAGGTCACAGTCGCAATGGCCACGTAGTGGCGGGAATCTGTAGCTATGGTCGGTCGAAACGATGTTATGATTCCGTGAGACGACTGTCTTATGCTGGTTACCGGCCGATACGAGTATTATTTATTGTCGTTTAGCAACAAACTCGTGGATTGATCGTTGGTCAATACGATTCTGACATGCCGTGGAGCGGCGATGACGCAGACGGGCTGCTAATCGATATTAGTTGAACCGCCGTAGGGCGGATAGTACAGCTTGATTGCTGTAAATGTTGACATGTTGAAAGTTTTGGAAGGACCAGCTCCTCCTGTTTTGCTTTGCTTGTCTAGAGAACTGTGTACTAAGCTTAATGCTTCTTTCAGAGATATGGTAGTGAAAAAATGAGAGTGATGAGGTTGGATCGGTATGATACAATTACTATGTCAGTGATTTTATAAGAAAGTGTTTTTTCGGAGAAACCTTTGTAGTGATGTCAGAATTATGATTGAAACTTGAATTTTGAATTTTTTGAGTGAGAGAGAATCGATTAGTGTTTAGATATGTGTTTTTCAATGAGTTAAGAACAATCAATGCAAACAGAATTTGTCGGTCGGACTTAATTTCAAAGTTATACACGAGTTTGCGAATTCAAATCTGTCGGAGGTTTTATTTTATTAACAATATAAAATACAGTAAGTACAATAGGTAATTTTTAATTTCACAAAAATTATAAGGATAAAAAAAACTCACATTTACAAAAAGATCAAAATGTTATTTTTGGTATTTTAATCATAAGATTTTAAGGTTTTAATGTTTTTTTAATCTTATAACTTCTATAGAAAATTTGACCTATTTTTTATAGTACCATCATTAAGCGTGGAAAACACAAATTTTGAAGAAAAAAATTCATGAAAATCGATTTGCAACTATACTCCAGCCCGCGAGAGTCCATACGTAAACCGCGCATCGATAAAGTAATACGCGACGTCTGTTTTCTCCCACCATGTTGTTATTCCCACTATTCGGCAACATGCAGATGCGCAGATACGGCGCGTTTGGACATTTGGAATCTCGTGGGCCAGAGTATATACACTTTTCATTTATTAGTTACCTATCTTTTTAATATTAAATATATCTAGGAAAACCAATGTTAAACAAACATATTATAGTTTTTATAAAAAAAAAGTAAAAGTAAAATAAAAATTAATACAGCAAAGTTCCTGATATTTGTATTTCTTTCTAACCATTGACTGTCATTGATGGTTCTTAATATGTTTGATTGAGTATTCTCCAGTTTTTACCAAGAATTTTGGGAAATGTTTTAGGAAAATGCTGGTCCTGCGTATGTAAGCATTGGCCTTAGATAGGTTTTGTATATATGTAATTTCATTCTGAGGGTAATCGGACTATTTTTGTTGATGACTGGAAATAGGCAGTGTTTTGCAGTTTTAGTTTTGTTTATTGTATTTGTGATGTGGGAAGTGAAGTGTAGTTTGGAGTCAATTGTTACTCCTAGGTATCTTTTTTTGGTAGACCATTTTATGGTGTTGCCTTAAATTTGTAAGTTTTTAGTGTGAAAAGGTATTTTGTTTGCTTACAGAACTGCTATAGTTTTTAAAGGGTTTATTGTGATCTTCCAATCTTTGAACCTAGATTTATTTTATTTTGTAGTCTTTTAACGGCGCAGTTGGTAGTGGGACAGGAAGCGTAGAACATCTGGAATATCTGCAGATGGAGCTGTCTTGGAATCTTTGTGCTGGGGCATGTAATTAATGTAAGCCAAGAAGAGCTGAGGGGATAGGCAAGATACTTCTGGTACACCGGCGAGTATTTGTCTACTTGATGATGAAGACTCGTTGACTCTTCTTCGAATGTCCTGAGCTGGAGGAACGATTCGAGTAGTTTAAGCAGCTGAATTGGTTGTTAAAATTGTATTAGTTTATAGATTAGACTTTGATGCCTTGGAGGCTTTTTCAATGTCTATAAATGCTGTGGCTGTCCCTGTGTGAATGCATTAGGTCGTGAATTAGAGCTGATTGTCTGTTGAGTAGCGTCTTAACGTCTGGGTTTCTTGTATGTTGCCAGTTTTTTTCTCAGTTTGCGTTTTTTGTGGATTGCGTTTAGGATTTTGATGGGCACTTTGGGGGTTTGATCTTTTGGATTGGTATAGGAGTTATTGCTTAAGGAGGAAGCTATTTTTGTTGTGAGTTCAGTGATGGCTTGGTAAACTTGTTCTGAACTTTGCATTTTCTTGAGATTAAAGATAATATTTTTAGTATCGAGATTGAATTTGATCCAATCTGTATGTTTGAAAGCTTTTGGTGGTAGGGTTTCAGTGCCTTGGGATTGTAGTTCAAGAATGATAGGGGTGTGATTGGAAGAAAGTTCAGCTATGAGATTTTTTATCGTGTACCTTAGTTTCCCTGTTTTAAGAATAGCTACGTCCAGTATATCAGCATTGTTATTTGGGTTGTCAAGATAGTGAGTTTGTGAAGTCCTGGCCGCTATGGTTATATCTTGTCTCTTATCTGAGAATTTGGCGAGCATGCTTCCTACTGTGTTTTGCCTCCATCTGTTCCAGGATTGATGTTTAGCGTTTAGGTCATCTGCTACGACGACGTGACGACGTAGTGGGAAGTATTAAGCAAAGAGTCGAGGTCCTAGGTAAGTAGTGGAGTATCAGGTTTTTTGTATACCACTGATAATCTTAATTCTTTGTTGCCTATTTAAATTTGAATTTAGGTGTTTTTTTTGTATTGAAGATGTAGTGATCTTAATCTGATGGTGAACGATTTTACGATTAATAAGTATGGCTGTGCCACTCCCTATTCAGGATATCCTAGCCATTGGGGACGATTAGTGATGTAAGAGTGATAGTTTGGAAGTTTGAATTGTTGGGAGTTGTTAAGATGAGTTTCATTCAGTAGAATAATGTCGATATTTTATTACTTACTCTGTTTTCTTTACATATACGTAATTTAAATGTTCATATACAGAACTAAGAGTCCAGTTATCTTTTAGAAAAGAACCGACAAAATTCTTAGAATATATGGTAAAGCCCGTGTTTATTGTAACTGCATAGTTTATTTTATTTAATTTATAAATAATAATTGACCAAAATGATTAATGTTTGTACCTAGCTAACGATTTTTTAACTACAACACAATGGTGTAAAGAGAAGAGGGCTGCAGAAAAGGCTGCAGAAAAGGCTGCAGAAAATATTATGGCTGCAGAAAGGACTGGTCAAGTTTAATCTACATCTCCAAGTTACCTGATTTACCTAACAACGATGTGTAGTAATTTTACATTGATATTTCATTCTATTTAAAAAATATTTAATATTTAAAAAAAAACAGACAACTTATCCTTTTGCTATAATATATTATTAAGATCCAAGTAATTACATTTAGCATTGCGATATTATTTAGAATAAATAAAATGTTTGACCTAGACTCATTAGCTGACCGTAGACAGATGTTAAGCAATACTTTTCAGTTTTCTTATCGCTCCGTTATCTAATTCAATAAACACTCTTGCTCTCTTATCTTATATAAACTTTAAATTTCCACATTTGTCTATCCGTACACCTATGTCCTTTTTACATTCTCCTTTCCCTAAATTAAAACCAATTAATGGCTATATCAACAATGAAAATCAATGTTTCATTTAATATCGATTTTCTTTTTGTCTGAATTACTATGAAGTGTTGTATGATATATTTTAACATCATTTATACTTTCATTATTATGTTTACAACTCGGTTTTACACTATAACTCAAATATCAAATAGGTACCTAGGTACCCATTTATATTCAAAGAGCACTTATTTGTAATAAATAAATTATTAATGTATTGATATAACTATTAAAATAATAACAAGATAATAGATGGAATTCTAAAAATAATTATATATTTGACCACATCTATTGTATTGTTTGTGCTACGATTTTAGAGAAACGAGTACAATGAATTACAGTCTAGATATTTGACTATTATTAATTAGGTATTGTGATTTGTGGTTTGTGAATAAAACAGTTTTATCCATTCATATTTTTTTTCTATATTTGTTTTAAAACGACTATAATAAAAAGTTATTGTTGTGTTCTACATAAAACCGAAATTAAAATTTACATTTTCATACTAGATTTAAGATTAAACTATGAGAAGGATACAATATACACCATCGTTTCACAACCCTCGGGTATTATATTACGGTAAATTGATAAATGCTAAAGTTTTGTTTTATTTGATATTTGTATTTTTAAGAATAATGTGAAGTCAAACTACTACTGTAGAATGTATGACATCGATTTCACATTTGATACCTATATAACTACATTCTTAGTAACTTTAATATTATTGTATTACGATTATAGATATTTTGTCTAATCGCGTCTTATGTATTTATAATACATATACGTGATACTAAAATGTATTACATTTTCCACTCGATAAAGGTCATATCATTGTGCTGTTATGTGAATAATTATTATATTGTTGTACAACTATCAAAACTCACATACCGTCAATAAGTTAATTTCTGGTACAAAAGATAAGTAATAACCTGTTAATATTAAAAAAGAAAGTATAATATCAAAATTAACAAGAAGTACTCATACTGAAAAATACCAACATTTATTGTTTATTTAGGGTTTCTAAAGATTCTTTAAAATCATAAATTATGGTTACCAAAAATGTCTTGATTGTTAATATTGATTTGGAAGTTCTGAAAAATCACATAAACTCGTTGATTAGCAAACAAATCTTCTTAAAGTATTATAGACTATTTAATGAAGCAATAACTTTGCCAATAAGTTCTACACGTGTACCTACTGTACAAGTTTTTATGCCGATATACTCTTTTTCTAATTAATAATTAGCAAACGTAATTTTTTCATACAGTCATCACAGACTGCTATACGAAGTAGTTCACTTCTGTCGGTACTCTCCAAGTGCCCTATTAGTTTTTATTATTATTATGCGACTGAAAAAGAGCAAATATTTTACACATAAATTTTTTAAATATGTGTTCTGATTTGTCCAAATTGACATTATTAGATCTAAAACTGGCAAAACATATTTTTCTTATTTTTCTAATATTCTCAAATATGCAAAAATATTCTCAGTACAATTTTCAGTGTGTCTTTCAAGCAGGGTTTGAAATCAATTTTAAATATCGATACAAATCCAAGGAATCAAAATTAAATATTTCTTTTAACGATACTCAAAATTTATATTAAACTCGCTTATAATGTAAGCCAATGATTTAGAACAATAAATACAGGTTTACAATTTAAAAAAAAAATTGGGCAAGTGGACGTGTTGTACAGTAGGTTACAAGTGGGTCACTGTAAATGGATGGTGTCAAATTTGAATTCAATGATATAATATCATTGTATAAGAAAACGATACTGAGCGAAAACGGTCAGTCAGCCTATGATATTACTAAGTATAGGGTGATTTTCTAATCATGCTCACCCCATTTGTATGCTTAAATTATGCATATTATATTAAAATTTTGATTTTCGGAATTTGTAAGTGTCATTAAAGACGATAATTTCGAGTACTTAGATTTTTCACAACATTTAATTAGTAATCTGTGGTGATATCAACGTTTGTTTTTCAAATGACAACCTATATGTTTTAAATTAAAATGGTATTCAGATTTTTTTTCTGAAAATGTTGACGTATTGTAATCGAAATTTGAACGAAAACTTCCATAGTTATTTTCTTCAAATACGAATGAATAAGTATAATATTATAGTCTATTAAATACTAAATACTTTGTAAATGGATACGAACTCGATAATTATAATTCGGTGTGCAATTTAAAATATTTGTTAATAATAATTACTACTTATTAAATGCTAATGGATTAATATTGAACCTGATATAGTTCAAAACAAATGAAATATAAATTAATTTCCATTTAGTTTTATTTTCTAATACCCTATGTATCGTTAATTAATTTTTAGCCTGGGCATAAACGAGTTAAAAAGTTAAAGTTAAGTTAATTTTAACTTTTTAACTTAAGTTTTTAAAATTTAATTTTCATTAACTTAATTTTTAACTTAACTTATTTTAATTGATATAAACTTAATAAATAACGAGTTTCTTTTGATCAAATTCATGTTAACTAGATTTATAAACAATTAAATAGTAAATATAATAAAAATAAAAATTACTATAGATATTTTATACCTATTACATACCTAACCATTTACTAGAATAGAAAATGAGAAATATAGTTAAATTAATTTCTTCATTAACCAGAATTGTTCAAGAAAAATAACCTAATTAAATAGTAAATACATAGTATAGCAATAGCCATTTAAGTATAAATCAGATTATAATAATATATAGGTGTATCTTACACATATATAAAGATCAAATATATACCATACAATACTACGGTATACGTGCATATTGTAATAATAATAATTAATAAATACCAATAACTAATAGGTAATATGATATTATCTTATTATATTGATATAGATACAAATTACAAATGTACAATTCTCAAAAAGGAAAATATTATAAAATAAGTTATTTATTTATTTATAAATCAAAAGATTGTATTTACTTCTTCATTTTCGATTTCGTATGCTTTTGGTACCTATACTACATAAATCTATTAATTCAGTACCTAATAATTTAATTTTATGTATAAAAAAGGCAAAAGCTATTGGCTATTTCCTGTTTTCAATAATATTTATGAGTTTTATTATTTCAAACCATATATTACTGGGTATTTATATAGATATTCCACAGTTCTTATATGTAATAATCTATTATCAGTAAATATCGTAATAGGAATAAACATAGCTACTACACATGTACCTATATTTGTACACGGATAGCTTCTAGATTAAGGAAGTGCTATAACTTTAAGATACGAGATATGTGATAACTGTATAAATATAAAATAAATAGGAACTGATCAAGATTAAAGATATTATAAAGGTTGTACTTTGCCCTCTTCTTCGTCCTATAATTGTTAATAAATGGCATTTATTGTACTTAAAAGTTAAAACACAGATATTGAATACCAAATATTGATAACACTAAATAAACATATAAAATATTTGTGTCCACATTTGCTTAAATGATGCTTAAAAAATCACATTGAACCTATTGTAACGTCACAGAATTTTAGGCCTTACTTAATATTATTATAGTTCCCCTGAGCATGTTATTTTTCATTACTATTATTACTTATGATAACATTATGATATTATTATATTTATCGCGCGCCAATGCATAAATTACCACAATGTTACATAACACCTGACCCCGGCCCCCACAACCCGCAGTGTCCGCCCGCCAACAGGCCGCTGCCGTTGCCGGTCGTCACCGCCGGTCGCAGTTGTCGCGTCCGTCGATACGCACCGACAAAGCAGTCTGTTTTCCCAATTATTATTGTAAACGTCCCTATAATGCGACACTGACCTTCCCCACCACGTCAACATCAACGGCCACGACCAGCGGCAAGACAACATCAGCCGTCTTTAAACACATTTTCCGAGACCGCTGAACGAACCAGA